TCTAATTGTGACACTACAAATATTAAGAGGAATTTAACAGTCCTTGTAATGGCCAAATATACAAAAGAGTATGAGAAAGTTATTGTTGATATGAACTTTTAGATTCTGAGTCTGAGTGTTTGTTTCCATCATTCAATGTTCCTTTTTGTCAATTTTGGAAAAATTAAATTCCCAAGAATATGAAGAGAAGACTCAGTCCCAGGAAGGGTGAATGTAATGATTGTGTCCAATGACTGTTTCTAGTTCATAATATTAATAAAGCAACCTAACCTAAACTCTTTATAATTAGTTTAAATCAGGTTCTATTCAGTATTTTAAAATAGTTTAAACTAATAAAAAAAAGAAAATAGAAGTCTCTGATCTATGTCTCTATGATCAGAAACATGTTGTTCCACAAGAGTCACAATTGTTTTAAGCCACAAAATAATCATTACACCAAAAAAACTTGCTCATGTCATGGGCCAGTAAGCCTGAAAAGTATGGATTAATAAAACACAAACGATCTCAATTTCCCCAAAAGTCTGGAAGAAGTATTATAAGAATTGTTACTTTCCTTTTTCATTTGTGAAATTCTAAAAGCCAACAACTGTTGTGGATTATGAATAAAGCCATTTAATCCTTAAGATATGATTTAGATATCCAATCTTTATACTAAGTGGCTGAACATAAATTGGCACATCTCCAAGTCTACTCTATCCCTTGAAAATCTGCTTTCTTATGGTACAAGTAGGTCAATTTTAAATTTAAACCATCTTAGCATGTAAGATTCATACTGTTTCTTGTCTCCAAAAAAAACCATATGCTGGGTTGGGGATTTAGCTCAGTGGCGGAGCACTTGCCCACCAGGCTCAAGGCCCTAGGTTCAATCCTCAGCACCAAATCAAAAAAAGAAAGAAAGGAAAAAGAAATCATATGGTGCTGCTGCTCAAACTACACTTGAAAAAAAATGTAAGTTGAAAAGAACATGGAAAGCTTCAGGTTTTAATGTGGGAAGAGCACACAATCTGGAGAAAGAAGATCTGTGTTCAAAAACAATAACAAATATTTTGTTTTTTCTGAAATTCAAAGGAAACGACAGATATGAACATGTTTGATAAAATCCAAAGAGGGCACAA